TCATGATCAGAATAGTAAAGTGGTGTCAAACATCACAGAACATTTGGATGCATCCATTAATAAGCAATGGGGAGCTTTTTCTATAGGAGTCAGGTAGGACTAAGCTGCCAGTTAATTAGTGAATGAACTCTTTTATTGCCATCAACTGTTTGCTATTGCTTCTGGTACCAAACTGAAAATTAAAAAAAAGCATTAGCTAGTCACTGTTTTCATTTCACTTCCAAAAGTCTTCAAGAGATGCAATATTCCTTACTCAATGTACAAAATCTCCAGACATACTGAATGGGGATCAAACCAGCATCTCAATTTTTCTAATCATAAAAAATTTTCAGGAAAGGAAGTGGAAAAAAATAGCAACTTTTATTCTCCCCCACTCCTCCTTTCAATTTTTTTCTTTTTTTTAAGTGTAATTTTACTTCTTTTCATGTTGCTACTGAAAAAGAAAGGAAAACAAACACAAAAGGAATAGAGCAAAATTTAAACTCTATTTCTGCTCTTGGGAACAAAACAATGCTCCGTGGCTTTAAACAACACTTTTCATTCAGTGAGGAACTGAATTTCTCGGTGATGCTTCATGCAGGTATGATGGAGTAAGGACTGCAATCAAACACAAGGGGCAAAGGAGAAGCAGCTGTTTTGTGAGAGCCCCCCAGGCTGCTGGAGAGCCTGCAGAGAGCTGCTGGCCACCAAAGAGCCTCTGCAGGCTCTCACTGCGCTTGCCTTTGAGCTCTCCAACCTCTACAACTCTCCCGAGCACGCTCCAAATCACAAATGAATTTGTACCTCCCCTTCCTCAGCAGAATAAACCCAGAGTCTAGGGAAGCCATTGTAAAGCTGACATCAAATTTAACAGTACTGAAATGATTTCATTCATAAACATTACTGAAATAATTTCATTAATAAACTCAAAATGCCCTCGGGAATGCAGGCAGCAAAAGGGAGGCCAAATGGCGACTGCACCAAGCTCCAACCTGGATCCTCAGCAAGTGCCTCAAAGCCCTGTGGTGCCCCTGTAAAGCTCCAGCTCTCCTGGGGGTTTGACTTCAAGGATGTGGATTCTATGAAAAACACTGCTTTTTATTGCTCCTTTAGGAGCACCAGGAGCACAGAAAGTAATCAGAGCTTCAGGACCTGCTTGAAAAAGGTTTAAGGTAAGGCTCTAATTACACACAGCTTAAACAGCACTGACAAGATTCACAAAACATGCAGCTCCCTGTAACAGGCGTTTTGAACCGCGTGGTCACATCAAGGCAGTGTCGGCACCAAACTCCAGCAAGGGCACTGTCCCCTTTCCTGGTGGCCAGCACTTTTGGCAAGCCCCAAATAACAGCTAGAACAGCTATCGCAGTAGATCACTGACTGTGTGCCTCAGGAAGTGTCAAGCCCAGAAGCAAAGGCAGGAGATGCTTGTCCTCCCACCACAACAATTTCCAGCCATCCTGCAAGGGCAGCGAGCCCAACGGAGAAGTGCTGCAGCAGCACCATCATCCCAAATCTCTGCTCTCCTGCACAGGTCTCCCTTCCCTCTCCCAAAGCAGCTCTTGAACTCAGCTGACACAGAGATGGAAGATTTGGGTTCTTTCTGCCTCTTTAACACACCCGTTTGTGGAGAGAGCTGTAATCAGGCGGACTCAAGCCTGCCAGGAGGTCTCCAGCACACCCTCCAGTGAAAATCCCAAAGGGCTCTGCTGAAAACAGGCAGACACCGCCTGTGGGACCCAGGAGAGCCCAGGGAATCTCTCAATAACCCAGCTCACACGGCACACCCATTCACTCAACTTCTGGCTCAGCAGGAGAAACAGCAAACCCCATGCAGAAGTGGAGCATGATCAGCCATTTCTTCAACAGGCCTGAAAAGAACAATCTACTCAATTAAAATGGCACAGCAGCCCGAGGGTTAATGCTGGGTCGGAAAGGATTCAGTGGAAACCCCTGGAAGAGCTGGGCTGGGAACTGTAGTGCAAACCACAAACTGGTGGCAGCCAGAAGTGGAGACAACTGATGTGTCACTGCTGCCCCACGGGTCACCAAGTGGCAAAATAGATTTATGCTTGTGAATATGGTAATGTAAAATCCAGGGCAAGCCCGAGCTCTTGACTGTTCCCAGATATTACAGAAGTGGAGACAGAAATTAAAAAAAAAAATTAAAAATCACTGCTTTTGAAGTGTTTTCATGACCTGCACTAGCACCTCTCATTTTAATATTTATTTGTTGACTAAGAAGAATCACTGAAGAAAGAAACAATTTCTTGGGGGAAAAAAGTTACAAATAAAATAATTTTCTCAGTGGTTCCGGGAAGCTGGTGGTTTACCTCTTAAACCCAGAGGATTTCTGGGGAAGGGCAGAAGGGTCAGCCTGGAAGGGTGAGAATACTCACATCCCCTGTCACAAGATGTCAGTGTGGTGGGGGAAGCAGCCGCCGAACCAGGGCAGGTGTCACCCAGGGCTGGGGTCCCCCAAAACGAGGGCAGCTGTCACCCAGGGCTGCAGACCCCCCCAGAAGGAGGGCAGGTGTCACCCAGGGTTGCAGACCCCCCCCAGAACGAGGACAGGTGTCACCCAGGGCTGCAGACCCCCCCAGAACGAGGGCAGGTGTCACCCAGGGCTGGGGTCCCTCAAAACGAGTGCAAGTGTCACCCAGGGCTGCAGACCCCCCAAAATGAGGGGTGGGGGGAGCTTTGCCAGCCCCGCTGCTGCAGCCCCGCTGGCGGCCAACAGGCGGCGCCACCGCATTCATGATAAACGGCATTTCTCAGAAAAAGGTAAGTTGTGTAACATATTCCTTTCTTTTTAAGCCAAAGCCCAAGGACTCGAATTTTAATTTTTTTCCCCTAGAAAAATGACCCTAGATCTGAGGTGAGACGTTGGCCTTCCGTGCACCCCACACAGAAACACACTAGCCCAACTCCATCACCATGGAAGCACAGTGAGGAAATGAAGTTTCCAACTGGCCTCACCGACAGGCAAACGCCCGAACAGCCGGGGCCAGCGAGGGAAGATTGGAGCCAGTGCCTCCGCTCCCTTCTCCTGCCTTTTGTGCTGACCTTTAGTCTCCAGTCTTTAGAGGAGCATGGAGCCTTTCACGCTCTGTCAGCACACTCAACAAGCAGGGTGTGCAAACCCATTGTCTACGGAGGCAGTGCCTTGAGTTTTTCCTTTCTGGCAGCAAAAAGGACCACGGAGCTTTTTTGGCCAGGACTGCAAGGATACAGGAGGCTCGGGCTGCCCACAAAGCCTGGCAGTATGGCCCGATCAGCCTGCAGACAGCAGCTTGCCCTGCTCACACTGATGCTGGTGAGACACAGCAGTGTGGCCAGAGCCCCCCACTCCTGCAGGTGCACGGATGGGGAGGGCCAGTGCCACCCTCAGGCATGGCACCCACAGCCACGCAGGGCCAGGGCCGTGCTGTCCTCACCAGCGGGGAGGCACTCGTGTGCTCTCCCAGCCCAGCCAGCAGCGAGCACAGGCGTTTGCAGTCGTGGCTCCTGGGCCAGGAATGGGAATGATACCTCTTTCTGTTAAATAAGCGGTGCAGGTAGTCCTTTCCCCCCACGGATTCTTTGCAGGCCATGTCCTGCCCCAGTATTCTGGCGAGAAGGGCTTAACTATTTGTAAAAGCTCTCTAAAACAAGCCCCCCAAATACACACCACCCCGCTGCCTCTCGCTGCTGCTGAGCCACTGGAAAGCAAATTGGATGCTACATCCCCACTCCAAAGAATGCTCTGCATGTTTGTACACATGCTGGGTGGGTGCAGCTGACAGCACCACCACCCCAAAAGCACCTGGAGCTGGATGGCCGTGACAGCACAGCGCTATTGATCCACAAGATGGGATCTGCATGTCCGCAGGGGGACGAGCGAGAAGGACCAGTGAAACGTGTGTGGGTCGTGCTGACAGCCAGTCCCCCGCTCCCAGTGCCTCTCCAGCGGGAACAGGCGATGAACACAACTCCCACCTGCAGCACGCCACACCTTCTTATGGGGGGCCCTTTACGTGGGCCCACACCAAAAATAAATAATCTTTAAAAATAGTATTTAAAGAGCAGGTTCTGATGCCAAGGGTTTAGTGGTGATCAGCAGCACTTCCCCCGTGGCCAAGAAGGGACAGAAAGGCCTTGCCTCCAGCCTCAGTGAGAAAGCACAAGAGCAGCTGGCAGCATCCCTCCTGACTCTCTTCGGGGGTCAGCTGAGTCCCGGTGATGCAGCATTCACCTTTGCTGGGCTCTCCCCAGTTCTGCAGAGGCTACAGCTGTAGCAGGGAGCCCTGCTCTGTGCCCTGCAGTCAGAGGTAACTACACCCTGTGCCACGGCACTGCTCTGCCTGCCTGGGGAACAGCAGAACCCTCCCTTCAGTCTCTGTTGTCATTTAAAAAAGCTGTTTCTCCAGCACCCAGCTTTGTTTCCTGTCTCTGACACAAGTGACCCCCTGGACTGGCACAGTCCCTAGCCCAGCAGCACAGTGCTCCCAGGATGGTTTGTTTTACAGCACAGCAGGAGCTGCTTACACAGGGCAGGGCTCCCACTCCTGTGCCTGTCTGGATCCCTGCCCAGACTCACCGAAACCACCTGCGTTACAGCAGCAGGAGAGTGGCAAATTTAAGAGCCTCAGAGTGCTGAGCAGATATGGGGGATTATTTCAACTTCATGGTTTCCCAGCACTAGACACACACTTGAAGAAATCCCTTAAAACTGTCTGCTTCCAAATAACCTATATACATCACTGGCCCCCAAGACGATACATGATGAAACGGCCTTAAAAAAAATCCTTGCATTTCAGCCCAGCAGAGCATCCAAGTGCACGGCAAAGCCAAGACAAACAGAGCACTGCTTTTGCCTGGGAGCGTACGTGCCTTGAAATCGCCATTGTTGCTCTGTCCCAGAAAATGATTCATCCTCCCCACGGGCTGAGCCTTGCCTCCGCACATTTCGCAAGGCTCCTGGCTTTATAACAGCGTGGTGGTGCGTGCAGCGACTCCTGGCAGATTCCTGGGCTGGCTGCAGAGCAAGCAGGCAGCAGCTAATCCTGCAACGATGATTTTCCTCTTGCAGTATTTCTTCCTGCTGGCCACAGACTTGGTGCTCGCCACGACCCTCTCCTGCCTCTTTTATGCCTTCGCCTGCGTTTCCATCGCGTTTCTGACCTGCTGCGTTATCGCCTTCTCCTTTGGCGCCGCGGAGAGCAACGCTGATGTGAAAGGGAGAGCAATTGTAATTCTTGTGTCCAACAGCTCCATTGGGAGGATGTTTGCAAGGAACCTGGACAAAGCGGGTTTTGGGGTGTCTGCTGCACAGTGGTCTGCCCAAGAGGAGAGGACAGTGACAGAAGAGTGCTCATCGAACAAGGAGGTAGCCCAGCTCCACCTGACTGAAGATGAGTACCAGAAGACAGTGAAAACCTTCATAGAAAGCCACTTATCCCTGAAAGGTAACTTTTAGGGCAAACTTGTGGATTGTGCCTGCTGTAGAAATTAAAATGCACAAGATTGTGAGATCATAGTTCAGCAAATGAGGAAGGCAGGAATGCTTAAGCAAATGCTAATAACACTCTAACTGCAATGCATTTTGTTGTGCAAAACAAAATTTTGCTTTTTCCAGGGGAAAGAGCCTGCTTTGGTGGCTGTGAAAGGCCCCAGCAGACCTCAGTCCTTGAAGGAAGGCAAGGTAGGCCAAGGAAGGAGGGGGAGAAGGTCCTATCAAGGCACAGAGGGCTGGACTTGCTCTGAGAAGAAAACACAGAAATGAACAATGGGGAGCAAAGCCCAGACAGTGACCTGAGGTGAAGGAACGTGTCTGAATTTTAACCTCTTCTGGATTAAAGAGGAACCCAACTGAGTTCCCTCTTGACTTCTTGGTGGCTGTGGGATTCCTAAGAGTCAGGTCAGAGCTTTGTGTGGCAGGTTGGGACAGTGTCCCCAGGCTGCCATCGTTTCTGTGGGAATACAGGAGCGAAGGCAGCCTGCAGAGCCCGCCTGGGACAGCACAGGGCAGGTGTCCTGCTGAGGGGATGGCTGCAAGCCCTGCTGGGGAATCTGCCCAGCCCTTCCCAGCTGAAGGTGCCAGTGGGATGACTGGCTCATGCCCTGCTGAGGCACCCCTGGGATCCAGCAGTCCCTGTCCCCACAGCCATCACTTTACACCTCTTGGGAGTGACAGAGAACTCGGCCTCAGCCATCAGGGCTGTATCCTCATTGCTCTCAGGGCCATGGGGCTACAAGAGAAGAGGCCAACCCCTCTCCTCCTCTGTGAACCTATCTAAGGACCCTCTGAGCTGAAAGGCTCTCTCCTGCTCTATACTCTGTAAAACCTTCTTGTGTGGACAAGGCCTAAGAGCTCCCCAAGCTGAGTATCACCACAATCCTGGTCTGGAAATGAACAGAGACTTTCTTAACCAGTAATGATCTGTGGGAGCTGGTAATTTCTGCGGGCCTGTGCTGTTCTAATTAAATGAGGCTCCAGCACAGTGATACCTGTCTTTTTTGCTCTTGACTAGTTTGGTCCCCCTGCTAGTTAAAGGCTTTTGCAGGTGTCATGTGGTTTTGACAGGGTGATCTGTCGTAGGATCCGTGAGGTTTTACATTTAGGAACTCCTGCATAATATTCACATCACAGATGTGGATGTTGAAATGTATTTCCCAAGAGCTGACCCAATTGCATGGGCAGATCAAAGCAGTAAATTGGGAGGGGAGAAAAAAGAAAAACAAGAGAAAGAAAACATCACTGTTTTCTTGGGTTTCTTTGTTAACAGTTTCAAGTGAGTGCTGATACTCATTCTGCAAAATTTACTATGATATTTTTGGCATGGGTTAGGTGAACATGAACACTCACCACCAAGTGACTAATAATGAAAGAATTTAAACCAAATCAAAAGCCTATATGAGTGGGTCCCCACATGCAGTTTGGTCAGCAGGGTCTGGACAAGGGCAGGAGAAGACTTAGTGCTGTAGGGCAGAACCATTGCTCTCAGAACCCCCAGAACAACCTTCACCATTTAAAAACTTCTCTTTGCACTTTGTGTACGTAATTTTTAGCTTCTAAAGAAAGGAATCTTTGTTAGTTTTTTTTGGGTTTTGGTATTTTTTTAATTACTTGTCTCTACAGGACATTTTTACCATTGTATCTTTGCCATTGCAAATTAAAATATACTTATTCTATATAATCAAATATTTTGAAGTTCATCCTAAATGCCTTTCAAGGGAACACAGTGAAGACAGAATCCCCCAGTCATGGCTCCTTCTAGAATTGAAATACTTATGACAGCTAAGATAATCTAGTTTTCATTCTAGTACAGGCCCAGCAACCCAAATTTTCAGGAAGGCTAGCACCTTTGTTTTGCAGTGACTGTACAAGTTAATAAGATGCCACCAGGCCTAAGGAGAAAGTAACAAAGACACAGAGAAATGCAAGCCAGCCCCCTTCCAAATTCTTCCTTTGCTGTGTGATAGCTTAACTTGGTTCATAAAAAGCCTTTGGTTCTTCTGGCTTTTAGCCTCTGGTGCCTTCAGATCAGATATTCATACTTTCTCTGTGACTAAGAGGTCAAAGAGACGGAGGGAAAAAGATGAGAGAAGGAGTTTTATTGCTCACCTCCAGTAGCTGAGCTTGTACTATCAGATATTGCAAGAGCCCTTGGCATCGTGTCCGAGTCCTGTGTGCTCTGCTGCTTGAGAAACTGCTGCGCCGTGCTGCTCTTTGGGCAGGCTGCCTGGAAATCTGGCAATTGCCTCACGAATTTCAGGACTGACTGCAGGGAGGGTGGGGTAGGGCAAGGAGGAAAAAATGTAGATATGGGCAAGACTCAACAGAGAGCACCCTGACCTGACTCAAAGAGAGTTCAGACGAGCAGAGTGCTCGCCTGTTAGCTGCAGGAGCCTCTGCTGTCACAGCTCCTCAGGGCTCACCTGATCACACACGGCAGTCGCAGGGCTAGGCAAAGCCCTGTGCCACAGCATCACACAGGGGCTGGGTCGGGAGGGGCCTTAAAGGCCATCTAGGGCCAACCCCAATGGGCAGGGATGCCTTCCACTAGACCTGGCTGCTCAAAGCCCCATCCAGCCTGGCCCTGAACACTTCCAGGGATGAGGCATCCTCTGGAATTCCAGGTTCCCACAGGAGAGATGGTCCTTGATGTGAGCAATGCCTCATGCTGGACAGTCTTCCTCGGTTCGTTCACGTCTCTGCTATGCTGAAGGTGCTTGCAAGAGTTCTGTTGGTTTTCACTGGGTCAGGAGTTCATGTCTTGTACCTGAATCTCAGATAAGACCTGACAACTGCTGGATTCTTTGGTACTTACCACCTTCCCTCTGTCCCGGTCTCTCAAACAGGAAGGACAATAACTTCTACACAAGCAGAGAAATAACTGATGCAAATTAATAACATTAATTCCTGAATAATGTTAGGACCCGTGTCTGAAACACTCTCTCACCACCACGCTGCACCATGGTTTTTCAGACCAGTAGCACATGCATGTTCCAAGCCTTGCTCTGCAGGCTCCAAAGGGCCTGGAAAGAAAGAGCTGCCTGTGCAGACAGCCGGGCCAGTGGGAGATACTGGCCTGTCACCCTTGGCCATCTGTCCTCATCTCCATGTTGCTGTTGGCAAAGCCGCTCTCATGCCCTCTCCCTAAGTGAGTGCAGATCACCTTATCATTGGATCAGTTTAACTAGGTGTGTTAAGCTGTGTTAATGCAGCTCATTACTTTCTTCTGCGCACCGTGGGACGCTGATGCAATCTCTGTGAGCAGCCTGGGCAGGGCCTGGCACACGGATCCTGGCCGAGCAGGGTGTCAGCAGCTGCAGGGCCTTGCCCAAGGAGGTGCTGGCAGAGCTGCCCACAGCACTGGGCTGCCCACTCTCCACCTGTCCCAGAGGTCAGGCTGCTTTTGCACTTCTGCTGTGCAGCAGCTAGCAGCGGTCGATGCTCTCCTGGTACTTCCCCTTGCCTTGCACCTCTCCTTCGGCATTCCCAGACTTCAGTTTGCCACAGTTTGGTTCGGGAAGGCTCTCTTGGGACACAGATCCAGAAAGGAAGTGAGCCTAACAGGAGACAGAGACACTGGAACTGCTGCTTGTGTGGTGGACACACTGAGAAACTCTTCTGCTCGCGAAGGATGCCAGCGTGGTTGACCAGGTTATTTCATTAGAAGGTAGCCCTTACTCACTGTCCATGCTGTGCTTCCCTTAGGATAGAGGCAAGGCCATCCAGCCATTCCTACACTCAGAGCAGAGAGAAAGCTCAGCTTTCTTTTGGAACAGTCTAGCTTAGTGCGTGGCACGAGCAGCCGTTCCCACAGCTGCAGAGATGGATTGAACAGATGCAATAATCATTGACTGCAATAAACTACAAGGGAGTAGGAATGAATAAAGCAAACAAAATCATACACTCATGCAATTTTAAAGAGTACTGCATTATTTAACTTCACTCAGCTACAACAACTGCAGGCCACCTTGGATAAGTCAGCCCATTTTCCAAGCTGTAAATGATCACGTTTGGACTTAGGAGTGAAATGAATAATTTTTGCAGCTATGGTTTTGTGCCTTTAATGGGGGTTATCCAGAAGTTTTTGAAAAACTGGCTTGCAATTATATTGCCTTCCTGTCTCTTGAGGATTTATCAAAATGAGAGAAGCACTTTGATACAGCAGCATCAGGGCTGTGAAACAACCCAGAGAGAGAAAATAGATCTCATTCTGAAACTATAGGCTGGGAGGAGTTATTTATTTTAAGATGAAGGGGAGCTCCCCAGTCAAAGCATCATTTTAAAAATAGGAATCTGTGCATCATCTAGAGTCAAGGTGTCTTTCTTTTTCATAGGAAGCCCTGCATCCAGTAACTCTGGGCATTTTATGGGAGGCCACTTCTCACTTCCTTGAAGTGGTTTTGTAATTCTCCTGTTTCGACAGACAAGTTCTCTGCCGAGCACGGAGCACGCGGGCCATGCACGCAGAACCTCCTGATTAAAGTGTTGCACAAGCCAGAAAAGCTGCAGCAACACTTCTGCTCCATCCCCATCCCTCACCCGCTGCCAGAGGGCAGAGCCCACCTGGGTTCCAAACCTCCATCCCAAAGCTTTGGTTTTTGCTTGCTGGTGTCCGGAGGACCACGGCCTGCAAACCAAGACCTTTAAGCAATAATTAAAGGTGCCTGTTGGTCTGCCCTGCGTTAAAAAGAGGGTAATTTATTTGAGTGCATTCAGAACACATTGCCATGCTCACCACCAACACCAGCCACGAGTACAATATGGAAAGAGAAGGAGGTGAAAGAGCCACTGCCAAGACATTTTTTATCTTTCCTCCAAATCTTCTGCTTGCAGGCAGGAACTGAAGTGAATAATTTCTCAAAAAGAAACCAAACAAAGCCCAAGCAGTTGCATACTTATGTTATACTGGCTCCTAAATTCTGCCAGAAGCCATTTTTACCATCCTAAAACAGTACCCTCTTCACACTACCCCCACTTAGCTCATTTAATTTTAGTCTTAAACCATAAGTTTATCTTACAAAAACCCCTAGAGTTGATTTCCAAGCTGCATCAATCATTAAACCACACAAGACTGAAGAGTATTTTTAGAGATTGCCAAAAAAATAATTCTATATTTATGATATATCATTCTTTACAAGTCATCAACTCCTTTTCAAGCAACTGCAGTGGCAGGATTGGAGATCCTGCAAAGTAAAATAAACCCAAAAGTATCTGGGAAGCTATTTATTTATCACTTATGCATGATGCTAAACTAATCTCTGATTCTGGAAGTCATTGGAAATAATCACAGGTGTAACATAACCTTTACACTAATTGAAGAACTTCCCAGACAAGAGCTTACCTTTGCAGTCTAGAGATGTTGTCTTACACTAACCAGAGCTGGGCAGCTTCTGACCAGAGAATATTTTTGAAAAATATCAGGATTGAAGCCCAAAGAGTTCTACAGATCTGTGACTTTTCCAAATAATGCAGTTTGTCAAAGTGTGTGTGTGCACCTGGGTGCTTTTACTCTACCTCTTACCTTCAGCAAAGTTTTCTAGAAGTCAGTTTTAACACGGAAAGGAAATCAAGTGAGGGAAAATATTTCTGCAGCTCTGCTTTCCCATATTACAGTGTTTGGAGACAGAAACCTGCTGAACATTTCTGACACATATGCTTAGAGACTTAATTTGAATTATGTGGTAAAACTGAATATGCATAAAATTGAACACTTCTGTACATGATAATGAAATACTTCCCTGATACAAATAAATTATCTTAGTGCTTACACAACGTTTGAGTAGAGTACTTACTTTAAATCTACTCTTTTCGTAGTTCCCATTTAGCAGACTGTTCTCCCAACACTTATGCTGCAAACTCCAAGGTAACACAGAAGGGTTGTGCAGCATTCTCAGTAGAAAAGGGGGACAAGAGCAAACTTGTGTGGAGTTCTCCTTGCAGCAGGACAGAGCACCTGGCCAGGTCTCTGGTCAGCTCAGCCCTGCAGCTTTGCCTTGGCACTGCACGGTTCCTCTGCTTTCCTGGGGAGCTCCTGAGGGGAAAAGTCTGCCAGGTACAGCCTGTGGCACTACAGCTCTTAAAAATCCCAACACAGAGCTGAATTTCACCCCTTGGGAGCCTGACTTAGTAATACTGACCTCAAAAAACCAGCATAGTTTAGGCCAGGCAACCATCTGCACCAGAGTTAAAAATCAACCTGTTTTTCACATTATTGAATTATAAATGCATGTGGTGAAAACATTTTAGAGCTGATGCGTCATTATCATTAGTCAAATCATTTGTTCTGACTAGGTCATCAAAAAAAAAAAAAATATAAAAAGGAGAACCTCCCTTCTGTTCTTAGGTGCTTTTTCCTGGTCTCTAGAACTACATTTATTCTTAAGTATTCACTCCTCTGGTTTGGTCAAATAGCTTGAAATCTAGGAGCTGTCTGATAAGAAATTACCCTCCAGGCAGCATTCATTTCTAACCCCTGACTGGATGTGAGTAACTCTTTAAAGAAACAGACTGAGGCACAACAAAGAATTATTTTCAATAATGAACAGTATTCATATTACCTCCCATAAAAACATTTCTCACCAGAGAACCATTCCCAGCAGTTAATCCAGACATTTACACCTGTATGTGTCTGCCTGGCACAACACCTGGCTGCTTCTCTTCCCTCTAGATCTCAGTGCTGGCATTTAAATTCCATCCTGCCTGGTCCTTGAGGTAGAAACTTAAACACCATAGAAGCTCATTTAAATCTCAGAGCAGCACCAAAATATAGTAGCCCAAAAAGTTTTTGATTCTTCTAATCCTGTTCTGGATTTGAACAGCTCTTTTCCTGTAAGAGTCCAGGTGCCTGTCCTTCATTACAATCCTGTTTTCCCCAATCCCATTTTAAGTGGCCATTATTAAATTAACTGAGATGTCACCAATCTAAAGCTAAAACTCCTTTCAGGTCACTTGCCTTCCTTTGTTTCCCTTTGGCCACCTCTGTGGTTTCATATTAAATATACTAAAAATGCATTTTCTCTCTTTTGTTGCTACCCAAGACTTTTAGTCCTCATCAGAGATTTGCATTTCAATCCTGTTTTAAATTATGGAGGGCACATTTTCCAACGAATAAACACACTGATGGAAAATTCCCGAGCATTTCCCATAACCATACACACAACATGAACCAATTTACCAGGTATCAAACTGCAAAGGGAGGGACCAGGTCCTTCTTATCCATCCATTCAAGAACAGCAGACTCCAGTGTTATTTATATAAAGTCCAGAAAATAAAAATACAGGCAGAAATATGAGAATAAATTACAACCTAAAAAAAAAGTCTACACTAATCCAAGAGGAGCCAAGTCCCCAGATGTTTGGATGCCAGCAACAGAGGTGACAGGAGGAATGCTCCCATCATCCGTTTGCTCTCTGCTTCCCTCTCCTTAGACCTCTGCAGCAGATTTTTATTCATGGCACAAGCTCCAGGGCACAGATCACGCCTGTCTGTGTCAGTCATGTGGACACTGATGCAAAACAGGTCGATGCACTGACTCTGCCACTCAGCCACGGCAGCAGGTGACAGGAGACAAGGGCTCCCCGCTCTGCTTGCTCAGAAGGACAACTCTTGGCCAGGAAAAGTCACCTGGAGCTGTCCTTGGGCTCTTGCTGGAACACCAGGGAGGTGTTTTCCTTCACACCTTATCCTGGCTCTCTCTCACCAAGGCCAGGCAGGGCACTTCTTTCCTCAAGCAGGAAACCACTGTCTCCTCCAACAGCACCCATGGATGCACTGTCTGGAGAGAACCTGGAGCAGCCACCAGTTTTTAAAGAAATATGGCTCCTAGGCAGACACTGCATTCTGCATGGGTCAAAGCCCCTTGCCACCCTATTTTGAACACAAGCAAACAGAAAAAAATCCCCTCTCAAAGATTACTCACTACAGCACAGACAAATGCCCCAGTTCTGATTCATTTTTTTCTACAGAGTAAAAAACTTTTGTACTTGAATATGCCTCCATGTGCTATTTGGATGTAATGGCTTGGCATTACAAAGGGAATAAGTGCCTTAAAGAGAACAGGCTCATTCAGTGATTGTTTCTAATAAGTGTAATTTGATTTTTCCTCTAGCATATTTCTTGGAAAATACTTCACTTGCTTTGTTTCTAAGAAAAGCAATTTGCTAACATTTGTCTGATCATAAAATTATTTTGACCTTCTGCAAATAATCTGACTTCCCAGTGAGCTGCTGAACTTTCTGAAGTGCATTAGGTCGTTCACAGAACACAGCTTTTCTCTTGTTCATTCTGGATAGCCTCTTTGTATAACTGATGGAAACACTTCCAAAGCTTTTGCAAAAATAACTTCAGGGAACTGATAAAAAAATAAGAATATTGATACATATTCAAGAGAATATGTAATAACACATTTTTGCAAAAATAACTTCAGGGAACTGATAAAAAAAAGTAAAGATTTGAAATTCCAAGGGAATATGTAATAATACATTTAATGGACACTAAAGGGAGGAATAGCTACCTTTGAACCAGCTCTGTTCCCAACGCTGGGAGTCTTGCACACTGTGGCCCCCTCCTTGCCAGCATGGATCGCCGCACTGAGCTCGTTAGCTCAGGTTTTTCACTAGAATGAGTTGCAAGTGGCAAGATTTCATCTGCAGCTGCTGTGTCTTTGGAGAAACATCCCCACGCGGCTCAGGAACGATCTGGGTGAGCTGGCTGAGCTGACAGCCTGTTGGTTTGGTTTGGTTTGGCAGGCATGTACGGGAAGATGAGGAACCCGTCCATCCTGATCTGGGATGAAGGGGCTGCGGACACACGCGGGGCACCTGAGACAAAACCCTCCTGTGAGGGGAAGGAGGCTTGCAAGGCTCCACGCAGGAACTGCTTACTGCACACAGGTACAGCTGAACGTACTGCATTGCACTGGCAATGTCTGCATGAGGGGAAAATGCCTTTATAACCTTGCAGCCAATACAGGGCTTTTTTCTTAATATTCTTTCCAAAACTTCGAAAGCAAAGCTCTTGTTTGTGGCCACTTCTCACCAGGGCTAGTCACAGACAGCTTAAAATGTGGGTTTAAAGGTTTTAGCTAATATTCTGGCAAAGTGTTGCTCTCTCAGACTGGGCTTTTAAACAAGACTGCCTGGATGGGACAGGGCCAACATGTGCAAAATCAGCTCTGCAAAGCTCCCACTGTCCCAGGGACCAGCAGAGTTCCTCCTCCTGACACAGCAAATAAAACCCATGGTTCACATCAGCAAATGCCATTCAGTAACTGGCAGCACTAGGCCTTTATCAGATGGCAGAAATTCTCCTCCTGGTTTGCTCTCCCTGTGGAAAATACTGCTGCTTTAGCATCCACTTGGAAGAGCTGTGTTGTCAGTTGTTTGTAGGAAGGAAGACTTCCTGATTAGAAATAACCCTCTAATTAAAGCATGGCTTTATTTACTTACATGTCACATTCATTTGTAGTTAATTATGCAGTTATAAATTACAAGCAATAGTATTTAATTTTAGCTGTGTGTGAAACCTCCTCTCTGAGACTGCCACCATTGGAAGGTGTTCTCTGGGCTTGTATGAGCCTCCACAACACAGGCAGGTTCTGGCCCCAGGGGAGGGATGGCTCTGGCTGTGGTGTCCCAATGCACTTAGTAAAAGAGCAGTAACAAAAATAAAGTTGTAAGACCAGGCAGCTAAATACTTCTTCATGAAATAGCAGGAGAAAGTAGGCATCTCCTCCTTTCCCAAGTGGTAAATATCAGATATGTCCCAGAAAAATGAGGTAAACAATCAAGAAATACCCAAGCACCTCCAGGGTGGTCACTCTGGGAATCCAAAGCCCTTGGAGGCTGTACTAAAAAAGCTTTTTTTGTTTTCTTTTTTGATGCATTAATGTCGTCTTTTACTATTGAGTTAGTAGTTGAACCAGTGCCATTTTTCTATTTGCAGCTCTCTGCATCTCAGTCCTCTTTCACCCGCTGACCTGTGTCCTGACTCTCCTGAAGAGAGGCCCACAGCTGCTCGTGCCTCTCCTGAAGTCCAAAAACTGACAGGTGAGGCAGCACCCTCACAGCTGAGTCACCTGCCAGAGGTAACCAGCACCTCCTGCACGGCTTTCACCTCAGCTGGGGCAGGGAAGGGGTCCCAGGTGGTGGGGAGAGGGCTGGGAGAACAGCCCAGGAGCAGGCTCCTGCAGCACAGTGGCACCCCAAGGACACTGCCCTTCTGCACCAGCGTGGCGTGAGGAGTCCAGCTGGGGCACAGCAGCACATCACACCAGCAGCAAACACAGGACAGCCAGCTCAGCCTCCAACACCGAGGCAGAGCATTCACTGCTCTCCAGCATGTCTCTGGAGTTTAAGATGCACAATAGTCACCCTTAAAGGACAATCCCCAAAATATGCTGCGTCTGTTCACTGCTGGACCATCTCTCCCCAGCTCCTGTATTCTCCCTGCTGCGGGCTCTGAAGGGCCTTGAATTCCGTTTAATCCAGCACATGGCTGGAAGAGTAATTGAAATGGTGTTCCCTGCTTGAAAGGAAGAGCCCAGAGCACTCTATGATTCCCTGGTCCAGGCTTTAGGACAGGAGAGAAAACAGGAAAAAAATTAAAACCAGAAAATAAAAAGCCAGACAGTTCATGATATGACCTGCCAGTGTCCCCATGGGCAGTATAATCTTTTCTTGCTAGAGGGGAGAGGGTCCCTGGCTCTCCATCTAGCTCTACTGCAGGTGTCTGGCTCTCAGTAGCCCCTTGAACCTGCTGGGCGTTGGATCAGGGCCACATGGGGCACAGAGCTGGGTACCCCTGTGTCACCAGTGCCTGCTGCAGCAGCTGGGCTGAGGCAGCACGTGCAGCAGCAGGACTGAACTCGGGAAATGAGCAAACAGCACCAAAGAGCTAAAACTCTCCTGCTGTCTTTCAGCCAGCAAGGAAACCCACGGAGCACTACACACGGGCACTGTCGCACCACAATGGAAAAAGGAGCATAGCTGGGATCACAAGTGACAAACTCCTGGCAGAAGGGGATTATGAGCAGTGATTTCAATTGCAAGACAACAAAAAAACGTGGATGAAGACAGAATACACCTTCAGAACCAGGACACAGGTCTGCAACTCCCTTGCAAGTCTAATCTGTAAGGAAGAAAACCCCAAGACGCTGAAATTTTGGGTTGTTCATTACAATGCTGTACTGTGTGCACTGGGATATGCACAGAGGAGAAAACATCTGAGGTGAAAGGAAATAAAGGAAGAACTCTGCTGGGAAGCCAAATGCTAGGGCTTGGTTTTCATTATCTAAAGCCACAACTCAGAACTGCCTGACTGATGATAAGAGATGTCACCCTCCCAGGGAGCCGGATCCAGGGAGGCAAAGGAAAGCTTTCAAAACAGCTCCTGTAAGACATTAAACCAGCTTAATATCAAATCATACTGAAAACAAACATTTTAATTCTGTAACATCAAAGCACTCAGAGAGAACATGCTAAAGCAGAAAATTTCTGAATTAAAAGCTTGAGGTTTTAGTCTTTACACATTTGGCAAATAACCAGTTACATGAATAATGCCAAACCCACATATTCTGCAGAACATCCCAGGAAATGTTTCCTTTAGTCAGAACCCCGCTCTGAGCCGGTGTTGCCAACTCCCTTAGTGCAAAATCCCATTCTGTGCACATAGCCCTGTGCAATTTCAGCTGATAACCATTATTTTCTCCTCCAAAATATGGCAGGGGACATGTGTGGGCTGCTGCATGGCCGCTGCTTCTCTCCCAAAGTGACCTTCAAGCAAAGGATGCTGCCTGCTTGTGCACACTGCAGTACTCATGGTCTGAAATTACAGACATTATGTGAGCAAAGCTCCTGAAGACCTCAGTGGAAGTTTTGCTGGCCCGAGGACTTGGGAATGGCCTACATCTGTTTATAAAGCTTTCCAGTCCGTTGGGATACAGGGAACTACTGTGTGCAAGCATAAAATTATCACTGTGAGGCAATACCACCATGAGATAAATTATAATATAACTGCACTTCTAAGTATGTTTAACACAAATTAGTGATACCAAACCAACACCGAAGTTATAGACTGCTGACACTGACTAAGGGACCTGAATGCCCAGATGCTTTTAATGTGAGTGGCAAGGAGGGATTTGAATTCCTTAAGTAGTGTTGAGTGTTTCATCACTAACATGTAACACATGAAAGCAACTGGCTTTTCAAGCCTACAAACCTGGCCAAAAGATTCTGGCAACATTCTGTATCTTTTTAGACACATCTCTCCAAGCACACAGCCATGAAAAATAGAGATTCAGAAAATCCTGAAAGTATTCCAAGTCTTAATAAATGCTTTCAGAAAAAAACCCAACAATTCCAACGTGTTTTTCAATAGATCATTTCGATCCATTTAATAAAAATGTAATTGGGCTATAAAAGTCTGCTAAAAGAAAAACAGCTTTAGCACCAAATCTCATGTCCTGAAACTCAGAACAGAAACAATGGATCACCCAAGACCTGTCCTTTCACCTCAACCTCAACCGCAATACTTCCATTTTTTGAACCTTTTTAAGAAAGCGCAGAATTGGACTTCAAATAGAACAGATTTTCCTGGGCAACACTGTAAAATTATTTCCCAACAGAACCTAAATGTTAGTGGGGATGGAGAACCAGAGGGAAGCTGGTTACACGAACACATCCTTTTACCACTTTAAATTATGTTAATAAGTAATCTACAAACCAGTATTATTCCTTTATAGATGTCTGCATGCCTGTCAAAAGATACTCAGAGAGCATCCCCATGGATTAAATCTGCTGCAGCAGTGTCACTCCCTTAGTAGCACTCTCTCTCTATTTTTGGGGACACTTCTCTCCTGACTTTCCTCTCCTGAGCAGGGGTCAGACACAGAAACACATTGAAGCCAGAGCAGATAGTACACCCCTCCTCACTGGATACTGGGAGGTGTTTCAGACAGCCTGAGGTGAGAAATTTCCCTTCATAATTAGTGTAATGGGATTTGCTATTCTTGTTAACAGTTTAATCAATATAAACATATACAGAACCCTCTGACATGCTTCCCCTGCTCAAGTGTCTCTATAATTAGCTCAACACTCTTCAGCCACGGTTAGTATCAGCTGAATCTCTACTACTCACTTGTGCAACAACAAAAAGGCAGGCGTGGGATTTCCTGTGTGTAAAACTCCGCCATGCCCAAGTGACCCTGCCACAGAGTGTCCTGGCTGTGCTGGCTGCTCCGGACACACCGTGTGGGTGTGGCAGGTCTCGGGACAGGTGGGACTTGCTCAGTCGGAGCAGGACAATCTCATGGGTGCACCAGACGTGCAGGTGGAGCCACACGTGCTTCCCACTGCACTGGAGACAGCCCAGCACTTCCAAGCTTTGCAGATCACACACACCCGGATCCTGTGCTTGTCACACAGTGTTCCCTTGCAGGAATAACTCAGCAGCAGCCCCTGACTTGACAGTTCATCAGTGAGGTGCTGAGGAGATGCAAAAGAAAGGAGAGCAGAGGCAGAGCAGGGTGAGGCAGAGCTGGTGCCGGGCTGGGACAGCACCGGGCCCACGGAGGTCACTGCAGTGAGCCTGGTGTGCCACACAGGCTCTGCTGAGTTTTACCCTAGAGAAGCTGTATTTGCACCAAGTCAATTATGGGATGTTACTGGTGTCAAGCCACAGGACACAGCACCTGCTCTAAGGAGCCACAGGCCTTCCTTGCAATCCTTTACCTTGATTTTAGGCAGAGGGAGAGAAAGTTTGTGTTAACTTTTGCTTTCCTCTCTCTAAATAGACAGATAGTGCCAAAAGCATATATAAACACCCTGTTGGTGTATCAGTATAAAGCTCATTTAAAAGGCTTAAAACTGACTTTGAAATAAGCTGAGACAATCTCCAAACTGACAAGTGCAAGGCAGGGGGGAAAATAATCTCTACAAGCAGCAGATTTCCCTGAGGAACAGCTTTCCCCACTGCCAAGCTGCAAGGGGGGCACTCCTCCATCCCAATGCCTTCCCCACAACCTCACGAGAGGGAACTTGTCCCATTTATAGCTGCTCATCTGTGAGCAAACACAGCACTGAAACAGTGACTGCCACAGGCAGCATCTGTCCAGAGAGCCTGGATTCCATGTCCCACAGCACAGGAACTCCGAAACGTGAAGTCACAGGATTACTTTGCTAAAATGTGTCTAATTTATTTTGGCATTCCCTAGGGATGAAAAAAAAAAATCACAACCAAAAAATAACATGTGAAATGCTGTTGTATTAGCTCTGAGAATCATGAAAAACCACAACTGCAAGCAGCCATGTCTTAAGGGTAGGTGAGTTATTTTGGCCTTTAAAATATTTTTTTTAGTAAGGAGCAAGGGACAAGTTTCCACTGTGCCACTTGGATGCACTTTGCACTGCACTGTGTCACAGGTCAGCTGTGCCCAAGGCACAGCCTGAAATACCATTCCCACTGGTAAGTTCTGTGTGCTTCCAAGGAGACACTGAGTAACAACCCTCCCTTGCCTAGGGCCAGCAGGACAGACCTCCAACACTGACCAAGACCTTAAATACCCACTGCTGTGGCTGAATCCTTGCTTCAGAAGAGGGCTCCCACTCCTCTGCCTCTTTTCCAATGGATGTGAGAACCTGTTCCCCTGTATAGACAGGGCAGTGACACTGACAGGAGCATTACAGAGTATGACCTAGGGAAAAGAGAAAGCCAAGGGCTCTGGAGTCCTAACCCAGTGTTCCAGGAGCCATTTATATGCCAGACAGGCTTTGGATAATGCTGCTGACTGATCATCCCACAACATGTGAACGTCTGTCAAAGAAATCTTAACATTTTTGAGAGCTTAGGTTTAGGAAACTGAGCTCAAGCCCATTAGACACTGCTCGTCCCACCAATTAGTCAGTTCTCCTAATGAGGAGAATTCAGTGAAACAGCTTTCTTGGCAGCTTGTTTATAAAGCAAAACAAAAAGTCCAGTTACCTTGGTTATTCCCTCTTTGTAGTACTACTTCTGCTGCTGCTTGGAGAGCTGTCAGAAACCTGCTCTACATTACTGCTCCCTGTCAGCCTCCAAAACCATCACTGAGGGGCTGAGGCAGAGTGGAACAAAATCAGCGACTTGTACTTCACACACTAATTCTCAAGTGAGTTTCAGGTTAGACATTGTGATTCCCCTGTTGAAGCTGTATTGCTGAGAAGACAAGATTCCCTTTCCATTGGGATGGGATTACTGGCTCTGATTTAGTTAAGTCAGCCTGGATTCATGCTGGTAGATCAGTGTAACTGAGCCCTAGAAGAACAAGAGGCCTAGAATGAATTTCCAGAGATTATTCAGCCCACTGGCCTGGCTAGGGGAGGATGTGCATAGGCCATTCCTGACAGGGGGTCTAGCTTATTTTGAAGGAGTCACAGACCTCTCCCAGGAAAACTGCTCCAGTCCTTCACACTCCCTTAGTATCAGATTAGTTACTAAAAACAAAGTGCCCTGATTGTCCCTGGAAGCAATTTAGCCCAAAGATTTTTGTCTTAACTGCCAGGGTCAGGAATACCAAATTATTGCCTTTTTCCTTCGCAGCAGCTGACAGTGTTTTGGGGAGAATACAGTCTTCCCCTCAGCCTCCCTCTCCTGAGGATGAAACCTCCTCCACCTTCCCTAGCAAATCAAACATTTTGGACATTGGATCAGTCTTCCTGCCTTCCTTTTCATACTCAAGCCAGTCCAGCTCAACTTGGAAGTACCCTGGGCAAAAGCAAATGCTCCTGCTTGCTGGATTATTGCACTTGCCACAGGGGAATAGTCCTGCTCACAAATTAACGTGCCTCTTCTGTAACAGCACGGTGGTGTTTATTGATGACCAGCTTGTGAGCCATCAAAAGCTTTCATGCTCATTGATAAGTCAAATACACATATAGCTGTTGGTCCCAATCCTGTCATAACTATCAAATAACCTATATGAAGAGTTTATTGCAGCACAAATCTGTATCAGCAGAGGGACAAAGCACTGTCCCAGCTGCATGGCAAACTGGTTTTGGTGGGGTTTTTACCACCTCTCCACTTGCAAGCATCACACTGAATTCTAACCCTGCCCAGTGTGCTCACAGCCTTTCCAAAGTGTTGCCAGCTTCAAGTTCAAACTGCATATTCTCTCTTGCTTCAGCCATTCCACAGGTGTAAAAAAAAGACAGATGCAAAACAAACCCCTCCTAAAACACATCCCTAACAGTTTTCCAACCAGGTTTGCATTCAGATATTTTCAGCCATGTAGTCATGATAAAGGCACGTGTAAAGCAGCTTCAGAACTCAAACATTTGAGTATGCATCTCAAAAAAAAAAATTATGCTGCCTCTTACTCATCCCTTCAATTTCTTCTAGGTGCTCCAATAGCTTAGTTATTTGTTCCAGTGTTTTTCCACGAACCAAAGCTAAGCTGACAGGTCTATAACTCTAGGTCTGCTTGTTAGCACCACTTTTGGACCTACAGCTCAAACCTGCACTACTGGGCTTTGCTCCAACAGACCATTTTAGCACATATTTAATTAAGAGGGAGAGACATCTGTGGCTGTAGAGGGGTTGAGTCACATGCTTATTGCTACACATGTGCTTGGATGTTTTTCTAGCTCCTAAGAATAGATACATATAAGAAATCCAAACAAACAAAACCCAACACACCAAACCCAAGCAAAATGGAGATGTATTTTCAGATAATGCTTATGACTTAAGAATGAAAATAGCAACAAATTCCAAACATTGACTTTTCACTCATCCTAGGAGATCATTCTCCAATGCCCTGTGATCATCCCCACTATGGTGACTTCTTTTACTACTGTGCTGCTTCATTCTCTAGTTTAGTTAAACCTCTCTCAAGTCTCCCATAATACCTCCTACATTATGCCTGCAGCACGTTCTTCAGCCCTATTAGTCCTTCCTTTTAGGGAGATAATGAATTGATTAGATGTCACTCAGTCTGTCATGAACTGCTATTGACACCTCTTGCAGCCGCTTTCTGTGCATTCCAAGGGTGGTTTTATGCTTGTGAAAGACAGAGCACTGACAGCTCTGGAGAGCAAGACTGATCTCACACCCAGGCCAGCTCTGTCCAGACCAGCTCAAACACACAGAGCTGCTACATCTCCTGACTTCAGGATTACCTGTAGCAATATCCCAGAAGGAATCAGCACACAACGCAGAACTCACCCAGACTCCTCTGCTGCTCCCCATTGCCCCCCTCCAAGATTAGGAAACCTGTCCTAATCCCTACCTAAGGCAGTTTGCTTAA